GCTTCTCCCTTGCAGATTCTGGTTCAGTGCTGTCCACGTCGCCAGAGAAGCGGCCTCCAATTCTCACTTGGTCATAGCCCATGGGCATAGGCTTAAGCATGACTTTCTGGTTCTTTGGTGCGTGGGGCTCCCTCCTGATGCCGGAGTTTAGTTACTGAACCAGTTACTATTGGGGCTCCACCTCAACTGACACTCTCCCGGCTCCACACTGTAATTTTTGTTGAGCTCCAGTCTACGTGTCCTTTTCAAATATATCAGTAACAAAATAATGAGGAGGCTAAAGACGCCATGGACGCTGAACAATTAGCGAAGCTACTTTTGGAAGTTAAAGTGACTTTTGGATCTTTTTAACGCTTTGTGCTTCTTATGAGGCCTGATCAACTAAGACTTCTCTTAGGATGCTCCTTAGTTCTTATGCCTCAAGTACAGTTCCCTATGGCTACTTTTGCTCCTAAGACATCAATAAATAATTGTTGCAATCACATGTCTAACATATCCTTCCTTATGTGAGCTTCAAATGCACATGTCTTTCATTGAAATTAATGAACTATCGAGAAATAGTATCCTGAACAGTTGCCTCTCGAGCGAAGAGACGAGACGCTAGCTTGATGTGCATAGTCGTCTTCAAGACCTGAAAAAATGTGCTCTTAAGTACTTGTGGGAACAAGGGCATTCCAATGCCGATTTGTGAAGGCTTACTATAAAGACGCTTTAAGTTGAAGGAGAGCCAGAGAGAAGCAAGTTGCCACTATCGAGAGAAAGAGAGATTTTGCAGGCAGACACAGTGACAGGTAATAGATATATATTATTGTGCAAATTCAAGAAATAAGGAAACAGTAAAAAGATGGAAGCTGCTGTCACGCTGATGGCTAAATTCACCGCCCATGCCAATGATCCATCACAAAGAGTTTACGTCGAAGAAATGACCCTTCTTTGAGTGGCGTCTGACATATCAGGTGGCCTTCTGCTCAAATAAACATTTCAACAACTGCACCACCATCGATATCATTGTCCTCCCTAACCTCCCTCCACACAGCTATTCTTTTGACTCTACCCTTCCTTCTTTTGTTGGATTTTTATTCCTCGGTGGGTCTCTCTTTATCCTTGTTCCTTCCAATTACTCTCTTTGCGGGTCTGCATTTGATCTCATCTTTGTTATTTCCCCTCATCCTTTTCCTCTACTCTGTCTTCTATGACCTTGGATCTTTCGCCAGTCACTGAACCATTTTTCTCTGCCATTGATTTGACGATAGGCTTAAGGCTAGCCTCTGGTTTTTATTACAGTTTACACCCACTGAATTCTAGGATTGGGTTTGCTAAAGACCCCAATAATTGGACAGTCAACATCACTCGACATCAACACTTCACTCACACTGCTTCTACGACATCATCATCTCAGGTACAGACTGATCAGCCCGTAAATATATAGTAACAGCTGAACAGGTGTTTGAGGTAAAAAAAAAAATTTCACCCCTCTGGTTCTGAAAATCCCTGTACCTTCATCAAAGGACGCAATAATTTGCCTGTTATTGTTGGCTGTGAACCAATTTGCAAATTACTGAGAAAGGTCATGTGATATTCTGACGCCACTGCAGAATATACCTCCATTTTCGTCTGTTGGAAGTTGTCTTTTGTAGCTAATGCATATGTTATGTTAGATCGGCATTTAATTATATCAGTATCAGTTCCACAAAAAAAAAAAAAAAAAACAGAAGAAAATCATTTCATTTTCCAAGATGGGTTGGTGTCCAATGCAGGGCAGCGAGCATAAATGTTGTAATGAATTACTGGGTGGTGCATGGAGGTGTGTCTGAAGACGAAATATGGTATTTTGGTGGAGTTGACGAGATAATAAATTACTCCTCCGGTCCTAATTATAACCCAATTGACTTATTTGAAGAGATTAAGGAAGTAAGTTAAGTTTGTTATTTATAATAAATAAGTGTTGTCATTCCTAAAATATCCTTGCTAATTAGTATATTGACTAAAACTATTATTATTAGAAGGATTATCTTGAAAAAAATGTATAAATATAGAGACAAAATGGATTGGGTCTTATAATTAGGACCAAATAAAAAATCAAATTGGGTCTTATAATAAGGACCGGAGGAGTAATTAATAAAGCTGCCAAATTAATTAATTAGTCAAGGAAAGGCTTTCTGTTTGGTTGATGGGCCTTGGCTTTAGTATGGGTGAGACTCATTATCTGTGAAGGGTTCCATCATCAGTACATTATCAGAGAAAGAGAAGAGAGGACTTGAAGTTGCAGAGGCTATATGCGTGCATGTGTCATGTCTTTGTATGTAATATTCGTATCTAAGTGTCCTTGGAATCTCACTTTCACACTGCAGATGCCATATCACTCATCACTTTCACAACTGCCCTTTTCTTTTCTCATCATCACTCTCCCCAAGCACCCCCTATAACAATTTAATCCATAAAGTTTATCAAAGACTTTTAATATTTTGCAATACAATCCATATCCTTCGTTTGAAAAAAAAAGATACAAGACCTTTACAGTACTTTACTCAGTAGGTTACTTCAATACCAGATTTATATTTGATACGTCATCCGAGATAACAAGCAGGGCAATCTTTTGGTCTGTGCTTTTTACATCAAACATGACAAAAATCCCTTCTTTTATTATTTACACAAATAATGCTGCGATTTTGAACGAAGATGACAAGTGATACAGATTAATATGATACATTTGAGAACTTGGTCTGTTTTTAAATCAAGAGAGAGGGGCAAATAATAGGAATTTTCACATCGAAAAATTTGTTGTACGGGTTGAGAAGAAGAAGAAAAAAGCAAATCATGAAAAAGAATCCATTTTAACTATGGAGGGCGGGCAATTTAATTTTCAAGGAAAATGATAGACAGATAGCTGGAACTTTTCAGAATCTCATGGTTTTTATCGAAATCGATGTCGGATCACAAAACTTTCTCTCGAGACATGTCTTTTTTTTCAAAAACAAAAAAAAAACAATGGAGACATAATCGGGAACGGAGAAAAAAAAGGGAAGAGGGTTTCGCTTTATGCTATGCATTGGAGGGAGAGATGTAATTAGGGTGATTGTTCGCCGAATCAGAGGTGACATGATTCCTTTGTTTGTCCACAAAGAAACTGACATATTTGCTCATCTGACACTGACCTGATGGATTAGTTTATGCTGTCCGCTTGCGAAACTTGAAAATGATACTGCTAATAAATAGGAAATATGTCACTTACGGTCGTTAAAATTATATTCATGTACTGCAGTAATTTTAAAGATATTTTCAATTTTCATTCTAATTCTACTGTTGTTGTTTTTTTATCCAGAAATTACATGTCATCGTTTCATCTTTTCATTTCCTTATCAAGAGCTAAACTACAAAACACACTAAACTCTTTAATTTATCTTCTCACCACTCTCATTTTGCTTGTCTTTATGCCGAGACTGGCCGTTGTGTGTTTGGTGACGCGTACTAAATTTACAAATTTTATTACTACATATAGTTTTAAATATAAGATTTTATTTATAATTTATAAATGAAATCTTATAATTAGGATTGAAGATAGTATTTCCCAATCAAAAGAGAAATCGCCAATTTTGTTTTCTTTTCTTTTTTCCCTGTTGAATCAAGAGGGAAGTCCATTCACGACTCAAAAAATTACATAAACCCTGACGTAAAGTCGACCAAGAATTATAGATAGATCGCCCAAGGTCATCTTAACCAAAACATCAGCACATAGATCTTTTGTGTTTGGAATAACTTTTTAAAGATCTCTTGTGCTGAAACTTGTGTGGGGAAAAGGAAAAAAAAAAAGAAAAAAAGAGATCAATCTTCTCTTTCTTTCATGTTTAGTGACGAGCTAGACTAAGAACTTATGTGTTACACGAAGTTAGAAATTACAAGTTATGAATAACTTACGAAGAGACAGTACGTGATTTTTTTGCTGGACATTTTATTATAATTTATAAAGTGATTGATTGCCTGTGAAATAGTACAGTATAAAAGAAGATAGAAATGATAGGAGTTAAAATAAAAAATAAAAAAAACAATAGATATGACAACTGTGGAGTTGGGGGATTGATGTGAATGAATCTTGAAATAGAAGGAGTTTGATTGGGAAGGTTACAAGAATCCAAATAATGTTCGCCTTTGCGTATTATACACAGCAAGCAGCCTCCCCGCTCCTCTGACTCTTTCTCCTCTCTTCCCACAGATATATTTTTCCGCCCAACTTGTCGGCAGGCACCTTCATTCCCACATCCCGCCCCCCAAAAAAAAAAAATTATACCTAGGTATGTAGTAATTTTCATAAATTGTATGCCTTTTATGTTTGAAAATTGCTTTAATATTCAATTTATAAAGAATAGATAGGCGTGATGATGGTTGATGGATGGTTCCGTGACCTTAAAAGATGACATGGCACTAATAAGATGGCGAGGGCACCCGTGATTGAACCAAGATTGGGAAACTTTTGCAGTGACCTCCAAATGGAATTGAATAGATGTGGTTGAGACGTAGCCCTCAATGAAACAGGTCAAACGCTACCTCATCTGCTCGCACCGGACCCATCCTACACTTGTCCTTACATTTATACGCGCGCTGCTCTATCATTCTCATCTTCATCACTCTGTTTGAATCATCTGCCCCATCATGCACACAAATATTTTATACTTTTTCCTTTTCTCTATCTTTTCCTCCTGATTAACAATATTTCCGAGTACTTTTCAGATCCCTTGCTTCGCTTACGTGTCCCTTTCTGGTAGACCTTTCACCTCTTAAAAAACTTCCCACCCAACCCTGGCTGGTAGAAATCTTGGTGCATCAAACACGAGATTTGAGTTTTCGCATTAAGGCCACATAAATTCATCAGATCGTTGATACTTCAACGTGTCAACATTCATCAGATCGTCTGACTTTGTCTGGATCCCTGTGAGTCTGATTTTTTGCTATAAAAATCTTATGGGAAAGCACAAAACTATTCAACCGAGGGAGACATGATCACATGCCGAGGAACAGCAAGCCAGGCCTTTCGCTACCGTATTTTATTCCTCATTCTGGTACACCAGATAAATTAAAAACAACTTAATTATACATTTCAGAAGGGTAATTATTCCCTCCTTCATGCAAATATAAAAATACTCTGGTGGGGAAAGAAGATCAAACTATGTCCTATTTACCCTGTGACCCGGACTCTTTCCAAGGAGACTGCTCTAACATCCTCAAAATGAAGCCGACAACAAAATAATCTTCAATTCTACTTTCGAGAAAAAGAATTTCTCACTTTACACAATTTACGTATGTTATAGACGCCCTGAATCATCCGGGCAGACGATGCTTCTTCACTCTCAATTAATAGTATTACATGACACCCCCCCCCCCCCCCAACCACGCTTAATACCTAACATGCAGATGCAACTTTAACTCACTTTGCTTATTTCCCAAAACTACCTAATAGATGGATTTCAGATACTCTTTGCTTCTCCATTAATCCTCCTTCAACTTCCTTTTAGGCTTGCCTCTTAAGCAGGTTACCTTACCTTGTCCATACGAAATTTCTATCCACCACATGCAGAAGGAGGCACTGCTCACTCTTTATCAACCCATTCATTTTCTGCAGCAATCCTTCCCGAGCTGCGTCCACTCATCTTTCCGAATGATAGTCCTTTGAAGCTGTTGCTACTGCCTTCATTCAAGTTTCGGGCTTTCCTTGACTTGGTTAATTTTGAAGAACTGACATCCCCAGCTTCTACATCTGTGTCCTCGTGACTCTTGATCTTCACAACCACCAGTCTGGCTATGGTGCTTCGGCAAAATGGACAAACTGGAGGAGTGAGGGAGGCAGTAACAGGATTAGGCTTGTTGTGGCAGCAGAGGGCTAAAGTACATTGTGCACACATCTGGTGGCCACAACCCTGGACTTCAATTGTGCAAACCTGCTCAAAGCAGATGCAGCACAGTTCCGTCTCACTGGCCTGCATTAACACAATGAATGAATAGCAATTCCAGTCAAAATCCTAATTACTATTTAATCCTTAAACTATCGGATTTGTGAAAACATCTTACGGAAGATGAATAGGTAAAAGTACAAAAGCCATCGGTCAAAGATAAGTTCTGATAGCTCAATCGCAGTCCAGAATATCAATCAAAACATAATAGAGAAAGAAAACTAACGAGTTCGACAGTAATGCGAGGATTAAATACAACTGATCAGAAGCATATTTTGATCAAGTTCAATAGCATATATAAGATACATCAAGAAGTTTGTCTAAATGGAGAGGGTGTCAAATTACCTCAGAGATACTGTCATCTACCCCATTATCAGAATGTGATGGAGATGGAAGCGAGTAAGCGCTTCCTTTCAGTATATTTTTCTCCCTTTCCCTGTTTGCGTCCATCAAGGCCCGTTCTAATAATGCTTTGGCATCTGGATTAAGTTCACTGATGAACTTCAAAGGTGAAGGCCAGACAAGAGGTTCAGCAGATGTAGGATTTAACAAAGCTGCACATGCTCCATGCTTGTGTTTTAGGGCAACCACATATGGTATCCGCCTGCATAAAACACACCGTGAAACATGACGGCAGGTCCAGTGCACTAAAGTTGGGAATTAGATGACTTGCGGAATGTTAAGAATCTATTCCAATCGTGGATGCTCAGTAATTCGTTAAATAATCAAAGTTACTCCTAAACTTGTAAAGTGGGAAAGGTGAAATACAAGCACCAGAGTACTCACAGGGCAGATCAAAATAAGTAACGAAATTACCTTATTAGATTTTCCTAAAAGACTTGCAATTCAATTATTATTACCATGGCAATGATTAAATTCATGATCCAGTAAGCTACATAAAATTATTCGAGAAGAGTTTGAAGTATGGACATGCCAATCAATCTCACGCGTTATGAGATCTACTTCTCTAAACGATGAGAATCTATATTGAGAAACTATGCTATACCCTGAAGCATCCCGTTGAAGACGATCTGCACCCCATGCCAACAGCTCACGGATGCAATCCAGAGATCCCCCTCTGGCAGCTAAATGAAGAGGAGTGCTCCCAGGACAGCTGCAAGTAGCGATTCATTGATGTACGAACCTTGTCAGACTGAAATTCAAATTCAAAATTACCATAAAAATTTTGTGGATCATTACCCGTATCCGCCTGTCGAAGCACAGACAAGAGCTCCATTGTCTAATAGAATATGCACACATTGAGGCCGTCTCTGACGGGCAGCCAAGTGCAATGGCGTCGCTCCTCTACCGTCCCTGATATTAACAAACCGAGCAAATCCCCTGCAATCAATCCAATATAAGGCACAGTCAGAAACTAACAACCTGAACAGAATGCAGGGACGTATTGATACTTAAACAGAAAGCACGGACCAAGAAGCAGCCACTGAACTAGATTTTGCCGCGGAAAGAATTGCTTCAAGGCAAGAAGGATGACCATAGTAGGCTGCGTAGTGCAGGCAGGTTCTACCGTAAAGCGAATCAAATATCAATACCTGAATAATTAACGAACCAAAATACACGCAAACGTGACTGATCCATTTAATCATGCCTAGTGAATCAGAGGATAGAATGAATGATGGGCAAATTCACCTACATTAGCTCCGACTTCAAGGAGTTTTTTCACGCAGGCGATCTTTCCGTTCATTGCAGCCAACATGAGAGGAGTCTGGAGCGTTTAAAGTGAAATCAAGGATAAGCGCGGCAAAAATTGAAGGAAAAAGAATCACACTGATTTCGAAGATGAGGTAAAATGGAAGCAATGGGCGCGGAGTTACCTGCTTTTGACGATTCAAGACATCTGGATTAACAGATCCATCTAACAGCAAAGACAGAATCTGACATCCGCCCAAAAGACGCAAAGCACATCAAATCAACACCGAGAAAATGTCAATGATAAACACTTGCAATAGGCCTATAAATGAAAATCCCAGAACGACCTACCACTTAACTACCAAATGCCTCCAAAAAATGAATTGGCTGACAAGTAAGACAAGGAAAACCCACCTCGATCTGGCCATTGGCAGCGGCTATATGAAGAACAGAATGGCGATCGTAGACAGTAGTATGGTGCACGATAGTTGGGTCTCTGTGTAAGAGATTTCTGACAGTGGCGATATCGCCATGCTGTACCGCAGTGAAGAGGCCATGTTCATGGCTCCCTGCGCAGCTCAGACCCTGACCCATCCCTTTCCCTCTTGGTGTATCTTCTCCTTCGGAGAGCTGCCACACCTCAAGCCAGTGCCACCTCCCCCAGAGAAGGTGGCCTCGATTGCTCAATGTTATAAATAAAGTTTACATTTAAGCCGGGGTGCTAGAGCACAGGAAGTAGAGAGGGAACATCTAGAGAGAGAAGGGACAAGCCCCTGGACCTGCACGAAAATGAGAGAGTGCGCTAGCTGACCGTGTCAGTGATGAGCAACTACTAAGACTGACGTCGGGCAGCGGTCAGATTCCTTGCCAAGCTACGACCCGCTGCCCCCCAGACCTATGCTGAGTTATTGGACCAATCTAACCCTGCCTTACCTATCAACGGTTGAGATTGTCTTGTGTTTCTCAGAAAAATTGCGTTTTATCCATCTTTAATGTTTTACACATTAATAGGATCAATAAAATAATGCTGAGATTAACCACAAATTGGAAAGTTCTGTAAAAATTAAAGCGGGGCAAGTGTCTGACAAAAAAAAAAAACCTGGGGTACGTGGATTCACGAGTGCACTTTTAAAATTACATAACAAATTAATGTAACGTAATAATGTTTATATGCTGGCAAAAAAATGTAATTATGTTTATACTCCTCCGGTCCTTAATATAGGTCCCAATTGTTGAGTTGATTTTGGTCCTAAATATAAGACTCATTTCTCATATTTATCAATTTTCTCTAAATTACCCCTATGGATACTCCCTCAACCATAATCAAGTAGAAGAAGGGGAGGGGGTATTAAGAAAGATGATTATGGTGTTTTAGGAAAAATATGTCACTTTTTTTATAATTAACTGACTTACCTGACTTCCTTAATATAATCAAATTAGTTAAATGGGTCTTATATTAAGAACCGGAAGAGTATGTAATTTAGAAATTAACAAATATATCATGGTGTGGTAAGACCTGGGATTATTTATGTCTAAAGGAGGTTTTGGGAAACCAAAAGAAATTAAAAAAAATATTTTCACGCAAATAAATAGATAAGACAGGGTTCTTTTTATATACTTTTTTGTAAGATTATTTTTACAAAGCTATTCGAAACGCTCATTAAGTTAGTACTACAAATTTAAATTATTAAATTCATAACAAGCAAAATTAAATATTGATAAGTTATTAAGTTAATTTTTTTAATCATAACTACCACACTTATTATACTCTTTTTTGAGAACTTAAATTTATGAATGCGTGTTTAAAAAAGTCCTGAAAACTATTTAGTGTTAGTTAAGTTATGAGATTTCGACAAATATTGATAATCTAGTCATCAAATAAATAAAGTCACACGTAGACGCACTGCAAACATCAGAGATTCCCAAACAAAATAGCATCAACTTTATTTATAAAGTTGGGAGAAGAAATTAAATTATAACGGACACATGCGTGAGATGCGAAGATGTAGGTGTGTTAATAAAATGATGCGTGACCTGAAGAGAAAATAACAATGGTAATGCAGTTGAATAAGATATTTTATTATGTGTATGGTTTACGTGGTGAGACGAGAAAATTGCGTGTCACTTATCACTTTCTCGTAGAAAAACAAATCTACACGCCAAATCACGTCTCATTCGCGTAATTAATTGAAAAGTCCAAGTTAAATAATCAAATACTATGTACGGTGAATAGGGCAATAATTGTATTATAGAGGACCTTGGGGGTTAAAAACGGAAGGGAAAACGGATGCGAGAGAGAGAGAGAGGGGGGAAAACGGGGAAGACGTAAAAAGAGCGGAGGAGGAGAAAGTGCAAAATAATTCATTCAATCAGTTCAGTTAAATTTATTTATGATAGAAAATATATCTAGTTTTAAAAGATAAGATATATAATCAAGTACCCTGGATTATTTTGATATCATATTTGATTGATTAAAATAAACTTTAAAAATAAAAAATTTCACGATAAGAAAACTTGTTTACATCATAGTGGTAATTTATCTACGAAAAAGTATTTAAAATAACCTTGTAAAATAATTATAAATGTTTAAAATAATCCTACTTGCGGTCAAAAAGGTTGAAATCCCCCTATAGTTCGTATTTCAAAGTAGCCCTGCGCGTCCCCCAATAATTTAAAAATGAATGGAGCCCATTGGCTCTTGTTTTGTTATTTTTATATACTTCCGATATTACATTCAGATCAACGCAATTAATATTCCGGTCAAACTACCAATCTTTTCAAGCTCCATTGGCGATGTAATAATTCAATGCAATTAATATCATTACTGTTTTATTTCAATTAATTTTGTATATCCTACCTAGATTTAAGCACTTACTGGAAAATATAAAGTGAGTTAACTCGACTGTGTAATTAGAACGTGAGGACGTGAAGTCTCATTTGAACGTCTCTTTTGGGATGCAAATTTGCTTTGCTTTATGTTCTGTCCCTTTTCCGGCAGCTCAATCGTCCAAAATTTCGAAATTTTATCATAAATTATTTGTGTTTTTGGCCGCGCGCATGTAATTATGCTTCCATCTCTTATAACACGTGTTTCTCCCATGTTCGCAAACGTATTGTTTCTAGAGGCATAAAAAAAAAAGTTGATTTTTTTGTTTGGTGCAGCAAATAAACCAGGGACGGCATTTTTCGCACGACTCGGTCCCTACTAAGCCGCCATGATTTGTTTGGACCTGCCAATTTTTACAGTTAAATGGGTAGGAAGACAAGTGGTGACAAATTTTAAACGAGAATGTTCGGATTTTCAATGACAAATTCGTAACATTTACGCCTCCATAAGTTTGTAACCTAAACCTATATATCCAACCATATACATACACGTGTACATCATAATTTAGTTGGCTGTTTAAACTTGAACAAACTGATTGGATCAGGTGGGTTGGTGTAGTGAGATTAGAGGGGGGGCTTCACATAATTAATACTACTGTGATTTTGCTTTTGTGCTCATGAATTCATATAAAAAATTATGCATGATGCATGATGAGTTGTATCTTTTTGTACATATGTTGACCTCATTCCATCCACCCTTTCGCCTGCCAAATTAGCATGCCCCTGACCCTCCTATGAATGCTTGTTATAGAAATCACACACAGTTTGAAGCGTAAAGAAGATAATGAAATCTCACTCATTTGTAATCGTGGTTCATATCATTATATATAATAATAACCACTAATTAATAATTAGAGGGAAAGTCGTCATGAGAGAGCTCCCAACTTTATTCGTTGAGTGTTTTCTTCTATGCAGAGAAAGCCATTGCTTCAAGAAATTACAATGTTCCCCCCCCCTATTCATATTCCTCCCTTTGTGGAAAAAGTAAACGCTGACAAGTTATCCAACCCTTCCCTCCCCTCACCAACCACGGTCTCCCCCTAAAAGCATGTCGTTTCATATAAATGCCTCCTATGATGCCTTTTAGTTACTGGTGGCAGAGCCTGAGCCTGAGCCTGAGCCAGAGCCGCCTTCGGCTTGGACTAATTCAGAGGAAGCGGGCATACATGTCGTTCATTGCTTGCCTGCCGTCGTTTTCACGCCTATTTTAATATCACACTCTCCTCCAATGAAGCATCATCAGGTGGTTTTGTTTTTTATTACGTCGGCACAATTAATTATGAATTGCCCAGCTCATCCATAAAATGCTCCCATCCCTATCGCCGACATTACAAAATGTTATCTCCCCTTCATTTTTATCTACATCCGTAGCACATATTCATGACAGCATTACTTGAAAAAAAAAAAAACTCTCAGTGACGCTTCTTAATGCTGAGCTTCACGTCTGATTTTTTTTTGGCCAAAAAAAGTCTGATATAAAAAATGCATGCCTGTTTGATATGTAAGTAGATTTTTTTTGTCATAACTCATGCATCCATAATATTATTGTTTATAGAAGTTTTGGAGCTGTAAATAGATATTGACAAAATGGTTACTTAAAAAAGAAATTATAATAATCATATAAAACTTGCATAAGAATTGTTTTCTGTTTTTTAATCACATCACGATTGTTGGATAAAACAGAGAAAACAAAAGAAGCCCTCAGTGATAATACTTCCGGTCCTAATTATAAGACCTAGTTGACTAATTCGAGGAGATTAAGGAAAAAAGTTAAGTTAGTTATTTGTAATAAACAGATGTTGTCTTTTCTAAAATATCCTTACTAATCAACTATAGTGGCTAGAACTACAATTATTAGAAAGACTGTCTTGAAAAAAAATACATAAATATGAGAGACAAAGTGGGTTGGGGTTTATATTTAGGATCAAAATAAAAATCAAATAAAATCTTATTTAAGGACGGAGGTAGTATAAAATTTAGACCTTAGACTCTCATCTCGCACCCGCAAATCACATATGACAGACATCACAAAATTCTTTTGTTTCAGATGTGCTCGGTGCAGCGGCCCATCTTTCCTCTGACAAGAATGCAGCACAGGGTGTTAAGGCCTGATCAGTGTTGCCAAACCATTCCCAGTTCCGCAGTGCAAAGAAAGCCCAGCAGGCCTAGGTTGTTCACTTGGCAGGCCCAAATTCCAGGGTTCCATTTCTTTGCTGTCAGCAGGATTCTGTTGCTTGAAAGGCCCTCGTAAAGAGTTCTGAATTACACCCGATCACTCACGTTCATAGCAAGGCTCCAAAAGTCTTAATATATGTGGAGGCCTGCACTGTAAAGCCCAGTACAGCCCATGGGCTAGGTCACACAATTCTCGTCCTACCGCCACAACAAAACAGCATGACGGGAACTCGGAAAACCAAAAGGCAAGGACGCATGATTGGGTCGGGGCACGTACTCTTTCGGAACTGGTTTCAATACTTATCATTTTAATAAACATCTTAAATTTATCAGACATTGATTATTCATATCTCATTTAAATAATTTAGATTTTATTTTTTATTTTTATTTGTTCAAAATAATTGTTTTAATATATATAGAATCTAAAATAGATACAATCTTTTAACTATTATTTTTTCAAAAAATAATTTTTATTAAAAAATAATTAATTGAATATTTTAAATCCAAACTATGCAAATGAGATGAGCTTATGGTGCTTATAACTGGTTGGACACTCATCCGCGTCACCTTGATGTGTTATGTAACCAGTTCCAAGGCTCATCATTATGATGAGCAACATAGTGCTCATCACTACGTTGAAATCTAAACCATTCATATATGATCTTAATGGTATATATTT